GCGCGGAGCACGCGCGCGGTGAGCGTCGAGTGCAGGAGCGCCTGCCCGACCAGCATCGCCACAAAGACGAGCAGGTGGCGCGTCGCCATCGACCAGAGCGCGCGCTCGTGCAGCGGGCCGGCGGATGCACCGCCCTGCATGCCGGTCGAGCCACCCGTAGCGACTCGCGCGGCGGCGCGGCTCTGCCGCTTCGAGGGCAGCGAGCCCTTGGCGAGGTACGACTGGAACCAGCCGACGTGCGTGATGAGGAGCACACTGCTCACCCAGTACAGCAGCGGATCGAGCCGGTCGAGCGCGCGCGCGGTGATCCAGCAGTGGTACGAGACGCGGGTGAGGAAAAAGACGACGCCGACTCCGAAGCGCGGGTTGCCGCCGTCGCCCAGTAGGTGGTTGCCTCCGACGAGCAGCGTCGGCAGCTCCTCGACGCCGCAGACGGCGAACAGCAGCGTCTGGCGCGTGTGGAGCAGGTAGCACAGCAGCACTGAGTACAGGGCGTGGTGGTAGTAGCCGACGTCGATCTGCTCTGGGTAGTGCAGCGCCCCCAGCACCGAGTCGACGCCACAGTAGGCGAGGAAGAAGAGGCACAAATGGCGCGAGACTGGCTCCTCGGGTGCGCCGCCGCCGCTGGGACGCAGCCACTGCATCGGGTCGCTCGGGCGGTACAGCTCCACCGCGCTGGACACGCCCTGCCACCAAGCGCCGAACGCGTAGTAACTGCCGACGACCGTGACGACGAGCGCCGCGAATGTCGTGAGCAGCCACGAGAGCTGGCGACGCTGATCGGCGAGAGGCCGGTGGCGCGATACGAGGAAGGCGGCGCCGAAGGCGTAGACGCCGACGTTGACAGCGCCGTACAGGGCGAGGGCGGACGCCTCGATGGACATACGAGCAGGGTGCGACGGTCCCAGCCTGTAAGCAAGCGTCGCACACCCGGATAGGTGACCTAACCGGGATTTTTCTTTTCCAGCCGCATTTTTCTTCCGCCTAGCTTTGCGGACGGGCCCCCCCACCCTTCATGCAATATGTAGTCCCCACAATCGCTACGGGTTGATTCGTCCGTCTCTTCTTTCCGCACAACACTGGGCACGCAGCGCCCTCGCTGCGGCCAAGCGCCAACATGTCGGCAATGCTCGAGCCGCTCGTCGACAAGGTGGTCCAGGTCATCACCAACGACGGAAGGAATATCGTCGGCCTGCTCAAGGTGCCGGCTCAGCCGCGCACCCCACCTGACGCCGCGGCGGTGCCATATCTGATCGCATCGTCGGCCACCACGCCGCCGCGTACCAAGCACCCACCACGGTGACGGCTGCATATGCCGACGACCGATGCCACGCCACACGCAAGGGCACGTGCCCTCTCCTCGTCGACTGCGCCGGCGCCGCCTCCTGACCGAGACTGGTACCCTCCGAACGCAGGGCTTTGACCAGACCACCAACGTCATCCTCGACGAGTGCCACGAGCGAGTTTTCTCGACGACCGCGGGCGTGGAGCAGGCGGCGGCGGGGCCTGTCACCTCCCTCTTCCCCTCCCCCCCACATCGCGCCACATCTCGCTGCGAATCCTGCAGATCTACTCTTGCCACGCCTTCGCCAGTGATGCTCAACACTGTTTGTATTCCCCGACGCGCGCGTTGGCGCCACGTGGCTCCACCCGCGCGCGAGCGAAGAGAACACCGTTGTCTGAGGTGGCGAGATCTCGCACGCTCCGGAGCCCCTGCGCATCCGGAGACCCCTCCTCGCGCGCCTGCGCCTCTCGCGGCCCGTTCGCCCACGCGCCTCCGCTCCGCGGGTTCCCGCAGGTTATGCTGGGGCTCTACATCGTCCGAGGGGACAACATCGCGCTCGTGGGCGAGGTCGACGAGGAGATCGACGCCGAGATCGACCTTGCCATGCTCAAGGCGGAGCCGCTCAAGGCTGTCGTCCACTGAGCGCGCGACCAGTCTGCAGTCAGGGATTCTAGGTCAATACGTTTAAAATCGTTATCGTTTATACACCCGGTACATCGCGGGCGCCCGGGGGCGACCCGGCAGCGCTCATCTCTCGGGCCGCACCCGTGCCCGGAATGTGGGGCACTGAGGGCGCGACCGTCATCTCGGCGCTGCCGCCGGCCGCAGCCGTGGCAGGGGGTCTCGACTGCGAGTCCTCCGCCCGTGGACCGGGGGGGGGGGGGGGGGTAGCTCGATCTAAAGCTCGTCCTTCTCCGCAGCGTCGTCCTCGGAAAAGGAAACCTTGCAAAAACCGCAGGCGCGCGCGCACTTCTCGCGCATGAAGGCCTCGTTGGCGGTGCACTCGCCCATAGTGGACCAGTACTGGCAGTTGTTTGCCGACTCGGCGTCCGTGCAGAGGGTGCCCTCGGCCTGCTTGGCGCCCTCTGCGCACAGCCCGCACGCCTTCCTGCAGTTGGTGTGCATAAAGGCTTCGTTCCGGTCGCACTCCCCTTTGCTGGACCAGCCGGCGCATCGCTCGTCTGCGTCGCCGCAAATCTCGCGCAGCCCGAGAAGCGACATCAGCTTGTGAAGCGAAGCGATGGAAGACAGCCGCGTCAGATCAATCTTCATGACTTCGCTGCCGTCCTCGGTCAGCAGGAAAAGGTCCGGGTTGTGGTGGTTGATGTACACGACCTTGAGGTTCTCGTACCGCCCCGCGTGCAGGTCCGAGCGGACAAACTCCCGAACTTCTGGGAAACTGTTTAGCCGTCACCCCGAGCAAGTGCGGATCTCGCCGCGCGCTATCCTCGGCTTGTCGCTGTCACAAACCATCGTCGAGTCAAAGATCTGGCAGTTCATCTCCATGTCGGATCGCGCATGTGGCGCGAGCGTCAGGGCCAGGAGGCAGGCGGCACGAGAGGCCGGCGGCATGTTGCACACCACCAAGCAAGTTGGGGCGAGCAGAAAGAATTTTAGGATCATGCTCCTCCCATTCCTCCCTTGGATTCAAGCGAGACGACGCTAGTCGGCTCCGCTAGTCGGCTCCGCGACGCGGAGCGCTGCATGAAGGCCGGCAAGCCGCTCACGGTGCGCGAGGCGTCCTTCATCAGCTTGCTGAATGCTGATGGGACACACCGAGCGCACCGGCGCGGCCACCGTGCGCTTCACCATGCACGTCGACGGCAGTCTCGACAGAAGGGGAGGGGGCGGAGGGAGGCGAGGGAGGCAAGAGGGCACGCAGCCTGAAGAATGGACTGCGAGCGGAGTCGTGGCGCTGCCAGCCAGACAGAGAAGAGAGAGAGAGTTACACTTCTCACTTGTCACGCTTGAACCGGGCGCCGCCTCGGGATATAGAAAATTAGGTGCCCGGTAGGCTTGGCTGCAAAGGGGATTTTCGCGTTTTGTTTTTTTATTCAGGGTTTTGCAACTTATTCCGTTTGCAACAAACGGAATCAAGAAAAGAAACGACCGCAAAAGCAGGCGGCGTCTCGTGCTCAACCAGGATCGCCGTCCCGGCGCGAGAATGCAGCCGGGCTTGCCGTCGTGCAGCCCTTTTTGCTTCGGCTCGTCGTCAGCGACGCGCCAGTCCTGGCGCAGCCGCCCCGCCGTGCGGTCCACGGCCTTGCAGCCCGTCGACGCGCCCGACGACGTGACCGCGGCCGAGATGGAGGCCTTCATGGACCACATCCAGCCGAGCTTGTACCAGCCGCCCGACGACAGCGACATTGCCCATGAGTTCACGGCGTGGCTGGCGGCGCGCCGCGAGACGTTGCGGACCGCCGCCGGTGCAGGCCGCCCTCGCGACTCGCAGGCCGACGTCGCCGCACCCGACGCCGCCGGCGGCGAGGAGTCGCCCGACAACGAGACGGGGCGCGCGACTCCGCCCGCACCTGCGCCGGCGGCGGCGTCCGGCCGCCGACGCCGGCGCAAGCCGCTCGCCGGCGGCGGCGGCGAGAAGGAGAACGCGGACGTCGAGATGGACGCGCTCATGGTCGAGCGGCCCCGGCCTGCGCAGACGGAGCAGCGCTGGCGCGCCGTCCTTGCCGCGCGCCACGAGGATTACGACCGGGAGCTCGAGAAGGACAAGCCGGAGCGGCCGTGGCACAGGGTGCCACACTTCCAGGGCGACGTCGAGGCGGAGTGCAAGCTGTGGGCAAGGGTCTCGCGTGCGCTCGGCGAGGCATACACGCGTGACCACTGGCGCATCGAGACCATCGAGTTTGACCCCAAGCGACCCGGGCAAGCCAAAACCGCGCGCGCCACGCGCCACAAGAGGCTGCGGGAGGCGGCGAAGCGGGCGGAGAGCAAGGCTGCGGCTGCCGCCGCCGCCACCGCGACGCCGTCGCCCGCCGCCGCCGCCGCGGCGGCGGCGGAGGCCTCGGAGGGCGCGGCGGCGGAGGAGGAGGTGAACGCGGCGCGGCGATCCCAGGCAGAAAAGACTGCTGCACGGCTGTTCGAGCAGCTGGAGGACGGCGAGGAGGAGGGGGAGGGGGAGGCGGCTCGCGAGGCGTCAGCGCGCACGCTATCCATCGCCACTGATGCCTTGCTGGGCGTTCTCGACGCGGCCGACGGAGGCACCGTCGAGACGAAGGACGCGTACCAAACGGCGGACAAGCCGCTGGGCGAGGGGGAGGCGACGGAGGCGGTCGAGAAGGACAACATCACCATCGCCTTCAACAGGACCATCGTCCGCGAGGTGCGGCGGCTCCTGCAGACGTACGGCGGCGATCACAGGCCGCCGAGCATGGGCGCTGAAATGCACTACGAGCTCGCTGCGATGGAGGGCCCGTACGCTGACCCGAACGCCTTCTCGTGCGACCCGGACTCGCTGTCCACGCAACAGCTCGACGCGCGTTTGCTACTGTGGTACCGGCAGTGCCTCCCCAAGCCGCCGCAATGGCGCGCCGACCCAAAGCTCAAGCAGCAGCCCTGGCGCGGCGCCGATGGGCAAGAGCTGCTGCTGCCGCAGTGCTGGCCGTCGCATTGGCTGACGCGCGCGCGGCTGCTCGGCGCGCGGCGCGGCGTCGCGCTGACGCTGCGCGAGGCGGACGCAGAGGCGCACGGCGAGGCGCCGCACGCGCCGCAGCTCGTCGCGGACGCAAAGTTCGCGTTCGAGGTGGCGCTGCGCGAGCAGCAGCCCGCAGGCGCTCTCTATGAGAGCTACCGCCGCCTAGCGGCGGCTCTCGCGCACTCGCGGCGCACTCGCGCGGGGCTCGCGCTCCGCCACCTGGCCCTTTGCCCGGCGTGCAGCGACGCCCTCTGCTTCCCGGCGCAGCACCTCCCGGCCGTGACGCGCTACACGCTGCCGCCCGTGGTGCAGCGCGCCGGCTGCAGCGATTGCGACTACTTGGCGATGCGGCGCATGCTCGCCGCCCGCACGTCGTCGTACAACGAGTGCACCGCGAAGGACGCGGCGGAGTGGCTGCGCGGGCTCGAGCAGGCTGACGCCGTCAAGCACGCGTGGGGCGTCGTCGTCGTCGACGCCATCAACCGCCCGCCCCACGCGGCGACGCGGCTCGCCATCATGGAGGGCACGTTCGACCACGACTCCTTTGCCGCGTTCCTGCGGGCGACGCCCGGCGTGGCCGTGCCCTACTGTGGGGCGCATGGGCCGCCGCGGTCCGCGGCGGACGATGCGCCGATGCCGGGCGCGCCACCGGGCGCGCCGATGCCGGGCGCGCCGATGACGGACGCGCCAATCCCGGGCGAGCCGCCGGCCCCGGCGGCGGCGGAGGATGCGCCGATGCCGGGCGGCGGGCAGGACGCGCACCGTAACGGCTGCGCGTGCCCCGGGGGCTGCCTGGGCGGCCCCTCGTTCCTCCCGTTGGATCCGTGCTGCGAGTGCGAGGAGTGAGTCTCGTCGTCGCTTCCCACACTGCGCGGCGTGTGGGTGGGGGTCTCTGTTGATCACTGTACTGTACTCTCGCTCTCTCTCTCGCTCGCTCGCTCTCTCGCTCGCTCGCTCTCTCTCTCTCTCTCTCTCTCTCTCTCTCTCTCTCTCTCTGTGTGTGTGTGTGTGTGTGTGTGTGTGTGTGTGTGTGTGTGTGTGTGTGTGTGAGTGTGTGAGTGCGTGTCTCTCTGAGCTAATTCCTCTCCCGCCCGATCCTTGCTGCTTGCTGCGAGTGTCGGGGAGCGTGTGCGACCAGGGGAGTGAGTCTCGTCGTCGTGTCGGGGCGTAGCTGCTTTTTGGAAACATGTTTCTACTCGTTGGACCGGAGATGGGGGGGCAGGTGCACACCCCCTGCGCTGCTCAACCTCTGAGATGTTACTCCAGACACCGTACCGCCGTGTCTGTATCTCCCAACATCTCCCGGTCCCGCTACCCGCAGCTCAAAGCGACGTCTCCCCTAATCTCCACGGCACCCACCGCCCGCGCACACTACTCGCCGACGACTCGAGAGTCGCGCGCACGCACAACCCAGCCGTCGAGCAAGCGGGCATGACCAGAGGCGCCCGCGGAGGGACAACCGGGATCGCCCTCGCCCGAGCCAGAGCCAGCCCTGGCCCCTGGCCGCGCGCGCGGCCTTCTTTCTGGCCCGCATCCACCGCAGCGGCGGCCGCCGCTGCGAAGACTGCGGCCGCGCGACGCCTCCACGAGCATACGACCGAGCGCCCGGAGGGGCTCGGGCTGAGTGCCGTCGCGAGACCTCGGCACGCCTGCGCACGCCTGCGCACGCGGCAGAGCGACAGCGGCACCACCCTCGTCGGGCGCCGACGAAGCGTGCTCGCGGGTCGCCGCTCCGTCGACCGACGGCCGAGACACTTGCTCCGACGCCGCCCCGCCCCCGCCCCGCCGGTCCGGCACCGATATCTCGGAGGACGACCTAAGGAAGAGCGTGGCGGCGCGTCGCCGGAGGACGGCGCGCTCGTGCTCTCGCCGCGAGATCGAGGGGGGGGGGGGGGGGGGGGGGGGTCCATCTCCCCCTCTATCCCGGGGGCGGGGGGCGGGCGT